GGAGGAGGATGTAGGGGCCCCAAAACTGCTTTCAATCTGACAAAAAGACACAAGGGTGGAACACAAGGGGGCCTAGCCATTGAGAGTACAACCGGATACTGTGGGCAGGGGAAAGTAACTAACCTTTAGGGGTATCTCCTTGAGGTAGGGTGGTTCGCCAGCAATCATCTCGAGAGCCATGATGCCCAGGGACCAGACGTCAACTTTGGGTCCATACTGTTTCCGTGAGACGACCTCCGGAGCCATCCAATAGGGAGTCCCAACTATGGTCGACCGTTTGGACTGCTCCGCGTTCAACTGAGCGCAGAAGCCAAAATCTGTCAACTTCACAGAGCCGTCCAGTCCGAGAAGTATGTTGTCCGACTTGATGTCTCGATGGATGATGTTGTTGCCGTGAAGGAAGTCCAGAGCTTGGAGACACTAAGATAGAAAGAGCAAGCATGGAGTAGGCGGTGTTCACGAAACTGGCCTTATTACCGGATGGAAAAAGAGGCAGCTGTTCCCCTGACGGCTAGAGCCCGCGCAGGCGGCACATACCGATGATTACTCACTGAATGGAAGAATCAATGAAGGAAATAAAAGGGGAACCTAGAAAGTCATTCCTATTGTATTTACCCCTGACCCAACCTGAACTTGAACCTAGTGCAAGGTTGCAGGATCTGGAATTAAAAGTCTACCCTACCCTCAACTGCAGTCGCAAATGGCGAGTACGCGTCATTATGGGAGGGCGTTAGCGGCTCCTATAAACTAGTTGTGCGGCCTTTGCGCTAAACTATACCGGGGACAGTACTGACCAAGGACAAGCAGTAGCCGAGTAGAGTTGAGTTTGTGCCAGTACCTGACTATTTCCAAATGGGCACGTGACGCGCGTTAGGCGTCGGCTCACGCCAGGTCAAGTAATGAGGCCAATCTCATTCCGATTGTGTGGGCTTGTACAGGCTACCGCCACCGCCTGAAGGCGGTGGCTTGAAGGGTTGCTAATTGGCCAGGTACAGTGAGCGGCCGATCTCGTTAAATGTTGGCCGAAATTCTAAAATGCGTTCTTGATTAGAAAGGATTAATTAGGAGGGGTTGTAATACTGTTTCCGATACGGCATAATCCTATAATGCTTCGGACTCGCCAGGATGGCGGCTTTTGAATGCACTTCTTTCTGACCTACAGCAAAAATCGTACTCGATAAAAAGTGACTACTTAAATAGTATGCATTTTTCGTATTGATTTTCGACTGTCATGCAAATTCAAATACATTTTATAGAAAACGCGCACAAAAATATGCTTTGGTAGAAAATCACGTTGTCTTTACATTTTATGCCCGAAAAAAGGGTATATTTCGATTTCCGAATAATTTTAAGCCAGATCGGCCGTCGCATTAGCGTTTAGAGATTTCAACCTACAAGGTGCGTGCTTTCCGAGTAGGGAAAACCATATATTCATTTGAATCTTTAAGAAGATATTATACAGAGCTCATAAAGTTCTGCAATTGATGCGGATTATATTGTAACTATCATGAGGAGCATTAATAAACGCATAAGTACGATGCCGCATGAATGGACATTGCGTGGTCTTAAAAAATCTCATAAATAGAAACTTTTGGAAAACCGAAATGTATCCTTTCTTCGAGTATAAAATGTGAAGACAACGTAATTTTCTACCGAACGAGTAACAGAAAGCATATTTTGTACGTTTTTCCAAAAAATACACTGGAATTTATAAAATCATCGAAAGTCAATAGGAAAAATGCATGCTCCATAAATAGCCATTTTTTTACCGAGTGCAGTTTCTACAGGAGGTCGAAAAGAAGTGTATTCAAAGGCCGACATTCTGGCGAGTCTGAAATACTATAGGATTGTAACGCATGATAATCATTAATACAGTCCCACCCTAGTAATTCTTCCTAATCGAAAACGAATTTCAGAATTTTGGACAGGATTTCATGAGCTCGGTTAGTAACTGTAAGTCATATCAGCAGGTCAGACTGCAGCGGCTCCTTCTCAATGCAGCCCTCATGGCAGCCTCGCTTTTGAGAGAGCCAAGATCTCTCTCACCCATTCTTCGGCACCTGGATCGTGTGGAGCCGGGGAACAGATCGGGTCTATTTGGCTGCAATCGATAGGAAATGACTACTCAAGAGGTAGGCATTTTTTCTATTGATATTCGCCGCCCTCAAAATTTCAAACATAATTTTGTAGAATACATGCATAAAATATGCTTTCTTGTGCTTATTTGATGGCAAATCACGTCTTCTTCAGATTTTACACTTAAAGAAAGCGCCACTTTCGGTTTATAAGAAGATTTCTAATACTGAGATTTTTTAGGCCGTGCATATTCACTAAGATAGCATCGTATCTATACAGTAGGTGGGTTAACTCACGAAATGTCAACCGAAATTCCGAAATGCGTTTTAAAAAAGATTAATTAAGTAGATTTGAAAAAACTGAACATCCCGCAGCGTAATTCTATAACAATTCAGTTATCACAAGATGCCAGTTTTCGAACGAACTTCCTTCCGGCTGTATACAAAAACTATACTCTGTAAAAAATGACTATTATGTAGCATGCATTTTTCTCATTGATTTTCGATGCCCCTAGAAATTCAATTATATTCCATGGAAAACATAAATAAAAATATTCAATATTTTACCAATTTGGTAGAAAATGACGTCTTCTTCCAATTTTCTACTCAAAGAAAGGATATAATTCGGTTTGAAACTTTTCCAATTCCCGAATAATTTTGAACCTGAGTTGACTTAACACTTGCATTGAGGGTTTGCAAACTACAAGTCATATATTTTCCGCGTACAGAAAACCATACATTTCTATACCGTATTAAGGGCAGACTAATGGGGCTTATAAGATTTAGCAGTGGATTTGAGCCCTATTGTTAACTTTAAAAGCTACACTGGTAAACGCAGAGACATGAAGTTTTATGAACGGCCTTTTCCCGATATCAAAAAATCCCACAATTAGAAACTTCTTTTAAAACCAGATTATACCCTTCCTTGGAGTATAAAATTGAAATAAGACGTCATTTTCTACCAAATGGGTAAAAGAAGGAAGATTTTTTTGATGTTTTCCATGAAATATAATTGAACATTTAAGGGCACCGAAAATCAATGAGAAGAATACATGCTACATAGGTAGTTATTTTTTACAGAGTATAGGTCTTGCATGCAGTCGGAAATAAGTTCGTTCGAAAGCCGACATCCAGAGGTAACTGTATTATTATAGAATTATGCTGTAAGCTAATTCGTTTAACAACCCTAATTAATTCATCTTTTCGAAGCGAAAACGCATTTCAGAATGTCGGTTAACATTTCATGAGTTAGCCCACCCACTATATGTTTAGTAATGCTTTCTATGAATAGTTCACAACCGCTGCAAGATGTCATGTGGTCTATATGGATTTCTACTTAAGGGCGTAATTGAGTGCATGTTTTTACTTACACAGAATATATGAACTGAAAAATGGAAATTTGATTAGGAAAATGAAATTCTATGGGAAACTGGAACGTTCATTGTGTAGATTTCCGAGGCTGGTGCTCCAGACCGTCGTGTAAAAACAACTTCTAAGCTGTGTCTAACAAGGGATTCTGCGATTGGTCACCGTCTGTCCCAGTACGTGTTAATTGCATAATACCAAAATATTCCAGTCACGTCAGGGTGCCGGCTTTCCATCAAGCACCCTATCGACCGTCTCCATAAGGTACATTCCTCAAAAGTGACTGCTTACAGTAGGTGGGCTAACTCATGAAATGTCGGCCAAAATTCCGAAATGCGTTTTCGCTACGAAAAGATTAATTAAGTAGGGTTGTACTAGTCAGCCTGCAATATAATTCAATAATATTTCAGTTACCTCAGGATGCCGACTTTCAAATGAACTTCCTTCCAACTGCATGCAAAAACAACACTCTGTAAAACATCATTACATAAGTAGCATTAATTTTTCTCATTGATTTTCGATGCCCCTAAAAGTCCAATTATATTTCATGTAAAACATGCATAAAGTATTCATTCTCTTGCTCATTCGGTAGAAAATTACGTTTTCTTCTAATTTTATACTTGAAGGGAGGGTGTTATTCGGTGTTCAAAAACTTTTCTAATTCCCGAATAATTTTGAACCCGCTCTGCCGTCACACTTGCATTCAGGGCCTCAAAACTACACGCCGTATATTTTCGTGTACGGAAAACCATACATTTCTCTACGGTATTAAGAGGCCATATGCGGTTCATAAAATTTAGAATTGGATTTGATCCATATTGTTAACTTGAACTTTACAAACCACATTGGCAATTGCAGAGATATGACGTTTTATGAACGGCCATTTTACGGTATTGAAGTCCCACAATTAGAAACGGCTTGTAGTTTGGAAATCCTGAATTCAAGTGCAACGGTAGAGCGGGCTAAAAATTATTCGGGAATTAGAAACGTTTTTGAAAACCGAATAATATCCTCCCTTCGAGTATAAAATTGAAAGAAGACGTTATTTTCTACCGAATGAGCGGAATAATGAGTACTTTTATGCATGTTTTACATGAAATATAATTGGACTTGTAGGGGCATCGAAAATCAATTATAAAAATGCCTGCTGCGTAAGTAGCCACTTTTTACAGAATAGTTTTTGCATGCAGCCGGAAGGAAGTTCATTCGAAAGCCGGCATTCTGAGGTAACTGAAATATTATAGAATTATGTTGCAGGCTGACTAGTTTTACAACCCTACTTAATTAATCTTTTCGAAACGAAAACGCATTTCGGAATTTCGGTTAACACTTCATGAGATAGCCCACCTACTGTAGGTAGTCCGAATTCTTCCCTTTGATTTTCGATGCCCTCATAAAGTCAATTATATTTTATAGAAAACATGCACGAAAATTTTCTTTCTCTTACTCATTTGGTAGAAAATTACGTTTTCTTCCAACTTTATACATGAAGAAAGGGTATAATTCTGTTTTCAAAAACTTTTCAAATTTCCGACTAATTTTGGGTCCAACCTGCCGTTACACTTGCATTCAGGGCTTCCAAACTAGAAGCCGTACATTTTCCGCGCATGGAAGACCATACATTCCCCTACGGTATCGAGAGGAGACCATATGGGATTCATAAAATTTAGCAGTAGATTTGAGCCATGTTCCTAACTTTACAAGGCACAATAGGAAATGCTGAGAGGAGACGTTTTATGAACGGTCACTTCGCGGTATTAGAAAAATCTCACAATTATCAACTCTTTTAAAAGCCAGTATGAAATTGGAAGAAGACGTAATTTTCTACGGAATGAACAAAAGAATGAATATTCTTATGCATGTTTTCCACGGAATATAATTGAATTTTTAAGACCATTGAAAATCAATGAGAAAAATGCATGATACTTAAGCAGTCATTTTTTTACAGAGTGTGGTTTTTGTATTCGGCCGCAAAGAAGTTCGTTCGAAAGCCGGCATCTCGAGACAACATAATTACTATAGAATTATGCTGCCCGATAATTAGTTTTACAACCCTACCTCATTAATCTCTTCGAAACGAAAACCCATTTCAGAATTTCGGTTATCATTTCGCGAGATCGATCACCGACTGTATATAGTCGTCTAGGCTTAGCTTGCTAATGAGAAACGGGGGGGGGGGGGGGG